TAAGTCTGATACTTCATTCCGCCGGGTTTATCTTAAACCAGTTTGGACCATTTTGAAACTGGTTTCTGTGCACTGAACCATGTTCATGTTCTGTTAAAGGTTAAACCAGTTGCTGATCACTTAAACCAGTTTATGTGTATCTTCTGTCTGTAGCCCACTAGATTGAGGAGTCATTTAATAACCAGCATATTCTCCCCAGGAAGCTACTTTTCCACTGTAATCAAGTCACCGCTCAATCTTCTTTTTGACGAGCTAAACAGATTGAACTCTTGGAGTCTCGCACTAGTCGGCATTTTCTTCAGACCTGTAATCAATGTTGTGGCTCCTTTCTGCAGTCTCTCCAGTTTTTTAATGTTTCTTTTCAATGTAGATGTCAAAACTGTTTATGGTACCGGTCCTACCACAGCTGTAAACAGAGGTAAAATTGTCTCTCTACTCCTACTCACTAATCCCCTGCTTTTACCTCCAAGGCTCACAGCCCTTTGTGCCACAACATCCCACTGGCAACTCATGCCGGTTTGTTCATCCCCCCTGACCCGCTAAGTCCTTTCCAGCATTTAGTCCATCAATTTTTGTAGGTGTAGCCTACACCATGCTACACATGTGCCAAGATGTCTGACTTTGCATTGGGCTGCATCCAAATGCATTTTATTGGAATGGGCCCAACTTATCAATGGGTCTGCTCCCACCTTCCCGTCATGGGGCAACTCCAGCTGGAATTTCAAATCAGGTGGAAATTAACCCCGGGGGACTGTTCCTCACCGATTTCATATTCCTTAACTTTGTGCAAACAGCCTCTCCGAGATGAGCCTGTTTTCATAAAGTGTGGCTGTGCCTGCTGCACCCCTGTGACTGGAGTGCTCCCTCACCTTTCCACGAACACCGTGACCGAAATCCCTTTAAATAGAAGCTGCTGACCCAACAGTTCCCTGCGTGTTTTCCTTACGGCACGATGGCAAAGGTCCAAGTAAGATAGGAGTGGCAGGAGCTGAGCCCCATGATGTCAGAGTCTGGCATGCTGCGTGGCCCCTAAGGGAGCAGGAACTAATGCTCATCTAACGAGGGAAGAGAGAGTGCTAATGGGGGTGCGCAGAGGGGTTCGTGATGCAGGAAGGGGGAGCGAGGCCTTCTGCATATCTCAGGAAAGGGCAATGCAAGCAGCTCTCTAACAAAATGAGTCTGCAGAAAAGGCAGCGTGCAGCAAAAGAGTGGAGGGGGTGAGGGGCATCTGCAAGCATGCACACACGTGTGTGCCCACATCCCTGCGTGGAAGTGCTTATACTGAAACGCATGCACTACACGGGCAAATGAAAGCTTAGCAAGCACCAGGGCAGGGAGGGTATTCCTCGGGAGGAACCAGAGGATGAGGCAGGCGGCAGCAGGTGAGATGTAGGTGGAGGCACCAGCTAGCAATACATGGGGCTGAGACCACTGGTTTTTGAAAATACAGAGGAATGGGACAGGCATAGTCAGAAAGCTGGGCGCTAGGTCCCGTGAGCGCTGGCTACTCATTGACTAGTCCGTGGCTGTATTGTGTAACCCCAGGCCGCTCTCGGAGAGTCCGGGAGAGCAAAGGGGACGTGCCCAGTCAGGCTGGGACAGGTTGCTGCAGCGAGGTGAAGTTTTAAAGGGTCTCCCACCATGGCAAAATGCTCTCCAGCTGGGCTCATGCTGCGACTTAGTGACTCACGGGGTCAATCAGCAGGGGCGAAAGTGGAGACTGCTGCTATGTGCAGTATGTTCGGCATGTCGGTGCGGCTGCCTGCCCACGCCAGCTCAGCAGGTATAAGCAGATGGAAAGCGACTCTGCGGTGCTTCATCCTTGCCTGTGTTTAAACCACGCCAGCCCCAGTGCCTGATGCAAACAAGGAGCATCTCGTTAGGGTTACAGCCCTGCACAGATGAGAAAAACCGTGTCACACCCCTCTGGCCCTTCTGTACTGCAAGGCATCATATTTGCTGCCGACGTTTCTTGTTTGCCCCTCCTTTCCTGTGGCTCAGATGTGAGCAGCAAAGACTGTTAAAATGCCCAGGCGACCTGAGCAGGAAACTGTTTTCTTACCCTGCAAAATTCTTCGGGATTTCACAGATCTTCCGCACAGGAAGGAAACCGAGACCTTTCAAAGCCTTTCTTGCAAAAAATGTAAGACTGAGACCTAGCAGCCCAGAAGAGTGAAAACGCTTCCTTGAGATGAAGGAAAGCCAGGGTCAGCTTCCTTCTCTATCAGACTGATCTCCTAGGCCAGGGGTTGGCCACCTTGCACGAGCAGTGGCCTGCCGCTTGCAGCTGGCCGCTACCGATGCCCTCCACCACCAATAGCAACCGATCTCCTCCTCCTCTGCAGTGCCCAGGCCACGCGCTGCCGCCTCCACCATCTGTGCCATGCTCTACCTATTCCTATCCCCCCAGCAGTGAGTGGGGAGGAGCAAATTTGGCAGCAAGGATAAGGAGAACGTGCACTAGGAGGTGAGAGGGCCGTGGCACAGGGCACTGCAGAGGGGATCAGTGCACAGGGAAGAGAAGAGGTATGCCGCCTGTGAGCCATCGGTTGCCAACCCCAAACTGCTCATATTTTTTTTTATGTAATAATTACATATTCCTTAGGTCTCAGAGGCAGAGAGAGACTGAATATAGCCCATGGGAGAGGAGGCTATCCTGGGAAGTGGGAGACCCGGAGTTTAGATGCATGCTCTGAATCAAGCATTCGAACCAGGGGCTCCCTGGGGAGTGCTTCAGCTTCAACTACAAGATCGGAGTTAGATATTTGGAAGAACTTCGTGACGACGAGGATTGCTAAGCACTGGAAGAGATTATCCAGGGATGCGGTAGAAGCATTGGAAGTTTTTAAATGACAGTGAAACAGGCACTTGGCTGGCATGGTTTAGACCAGGACTAGAAGACCTCCAGAGGTCCCTTCCAGCCCGATAGTTCATTGGGCTGTTTGCTGTTCTGGAGCGGGAGACTTTCTCACGTTGTGTCTAGAAATTGCATCCTGGACCTAAGAACTCCTTCTGATTTAAAGGTTTGGGGAAACCACTGCCTTTTTGAGAAAAAATGTGTTTCACTAGAAAACTTCCAGCCTCTGTAGTGTTTAGTTGGTCCTTCCTTACCCAGCCTTTAGTATGCAAACAGCCAGCATTTTGCTGTTCCCCTTTTTTGTTGTTTATTTGAAGAATCCTGTGTTAGCAGCTGCATTTCAGCTTCTTCTCATGCGCTGCAACCTGAAAAGCCGCTGTTTTGAGACTCCCTGCCCCCTCTGGAAATAGGCCTGGGTCAAAGGAATTGCCTATTGGGTTATGCCCAAGGCCAAGCTACCCACCCAGTACTTTGTTTCCACCAGTGTTCAGACTCAGAGGAAAGTGTAAGTACCCTGCGGTGGGATAATCTGCCCCTACACAAGTGCCTTCCTGATTTCTACTTGTGATTAAGGATGTGCTTGGGATGCCCGTTTTATCCATGTCAGTGCCCAAGTCTTGTTACATGCTTGGTCTCAGCATCTTCCTCTGCCCCTCCTTCCCTGTATATCTTCCACTCTTGTTCCTCCCCGTGTATGGGTGTATTTGGCAAGCTAAGCCAGAGACACAGTGACTGTAATGTAGAGTTACTCCAGGCAGCTTTTGTACCCATGCTGATTCAGCTAGACCAGCTATTCGTATAGTCTAACATCCTCAGCCAGATCCTAACTTAGGTGGACTGCCCCATCCGACTGCAGCGTAGGCTTGTCGACAAGGCTGGCGTTTTAAGATAAAACCTTAAGGACTTCCAGTGTTTTAGTAGGAGATGGGTGATGCAGAAATGCTGTGATAAAGCACAGGATTGAGATTCAGTCTTAAGTGTTCTCCTAGTCCTGCAGTTTTAGGACGTATCAGTTATATGGGATAGCTCCATAATCCCAAGCAAGGAGCTTAATGCTCTGTCCTGAGTTGAAATACTTCCAGAGGCCTTTCATGGTGCTGTAGGATACTTTCCTCATCCAACCTGATACCTGTATATTTATCTTCTGACCCAGAATCACCATTCTTGTTCGGCGTCTTTACTTAGTATTTATCTACTCTACTTATACAGACTTAAGGGTTGTTGTTTTTTTCTGGAGCCTGTATTTATGTATGCTCGGGCGGGGGGGCTGTATTTTGGCTGGGATGATCTATCTGGGGCTGGTCCTGCTTTGAGCAGGGGGTTGGACTAGAAGTGACCTCCTGAGGTCCCTTCCACCTTCATTTATTTTCTGTGATTCGATTAGCCAAAATCCCAGCCAAGTGGGGTGACAACGACTGAATGAATTAAGGACACGGTAAAGATGAGACTGTACTATTGGTGCCTTCATGGACGTGGAGTCACAGCCATTGCTGGTTGCCAGTCAGTCTGGGTTTCTGTGATGTGTGAGATTGGTAAGTGGTGTCACGGGTGGGTACAGGACATAAGGGCACCTGCAGAGGCATGGGAAGAGGACAGGCCATGCCTTAGACACGGAGGCCACTTAAAACTTGTCTTTCTTTTTGGCCACCCGGGTGTTTGGAGAACAGCGTATTGATATTGAGGGGTGACCTTGAGACTCTCCTGTCTTGGTCTGGAGGGGAAAAATGGTGAAAAAAATACCTTGGCTTTGAGGAAGGTCCTGAGATTTGGTTTATGGAGCAACCCAGTCATCTGAACTAGTGTCTGCTTAGCCTTCTGGTCATGGGCTTTTTCTGACGCGAGGAACAAAAACTGCCAGGGGGAAGGTCACAGATTAAAATATGGCTTAGACATAATTGGTCAGAGGAGCAAATTGCTGAGCTCTCTCTCCTGCTTCCGGCAACGACTGGCGCTTGATGCTTTGAAGGAAAGTAGACCTCACTTCCTCCCAGGCCGAATGAAAGAGGCGGGCAGAGGGAAAGGGATGTTGCAGTCAAGCTTGGGTATCGGGTATTTACTTCTTGCTCTTGTATCTCGTGCATCCAGTGCCGGTTGCTAACAGAACGACAAGCAACCTCCTTTTTATCTTCTCTCTCGTTTTCAGTGCTAGACACCGCAGGGCAAGAGGAGTTCAGCGCCATGCGGGAGCAATACATGCGGACAGGAGACGGGTTTCTGATAGTGTATTCAGTCACGGACAAAGCCAGCTTTGAACATGTGGACCGGTTCCACCAGCTCATCCTCAGGGTCAAAGACAGGTGAGTGCTTCAGAAGGAAGAGGTCCCTTCATTCAAATCCTTGCAGCTTTGGAGGCAATAGAGAATACAGCGGGACTTGGGAGATCTAGATTCAGTCCCTTTCTTTGCTACTAGTCGGCTCTAGACCGTGAACAAATCATTTTCACTCCCCCGTGCCTCGGTTTCCAGGTCCGTAAAATGGGGATCAATGTTTACCTTCGTAAAGCAGTGTGAGATCTGCCAGTAGAAAGCTCTTAAGCAGAGCCAAGTGTGAACGTTAGCATCGTCAGGTGAGAAGTTGCTTGTGTTGTATGGAAGCTGTTAGGGACCATCCACAGCTGGAACATCTTCCCCTAAGTAGCATGTAAAAAAATGTAAGATGAAATCATGTGGTGGTAATTAGTTTGGCTTTTGACTAGAGCAGAGAAGCAGCATCTGGACTGCACACGGTACAGTGTGGAGAGCAGCACAGGGTCACGACTGCCATCTCGCAGCGTTTCCTTCTACCGCTGAGCTGCACTGAAGCCCCGGTGCAATGTCTCTGTGTCTAGTATTGCTTCTCCAATTTTGGGTGAGTACTCACCTCGGTACTAGAGAGAGGAAACAGGCCTAGGAGGAAGCTGGTGCCCTGATGCATGTTACGTTTATTGTGCGATGAAGAGGTTCAGTGCACCATTTCGACATGCTACACAGGCAAAGTATGTATCACTCAATAAAAATGGCCAAGCAGCCACAATTATCTGACTTGAAAAATGTAGAACATTTTTAAAGCTGGTTTCTATCAAGCTTTAATTTGACCGTGTGGCATGTCACTATAGGGCAGGCAGATGTTAGTCCAATTTTCGCTATCCAGCAGTCTCCCTGCCCCTCAGTGCTGACTTGCCACGTCCCTAGTTTTTTGAGGCTTGTGCCTCTGCCAAACAAACCTGGAAGGTCTCGAGTCTTGTGACAATATGAGACTGCAAGCAAATGTCAAAACCCACAGAAATCAGGGAGTGGATTTTTATTAACGTTAATGAACTCTGAAACCACGGATCGTATTTCACTTGTAACCGAAGCCCGAAGTCAGTGAAAGCTCACCAGAGGGGAAATGCTGATTCTTCACTGCGGTGTGTTTGCTGTCGGTGAACTGTAATCTGCAGTGTATATTTTTAGTGCGCTTACTTTTACGTGGCTGGGAACGAATAGTCGGTGGAAGACTGCAGGTGATTGTTTCATAGTTGTTTGGGGCTGGAAGGGACCTTACGGATCATCAGGTCCAGCCCCCCTGCACTTGGGCAGGAAAGACAGCTGGGATCAGATGACCCCGGCAGCAAGATGGATGTCAAGGCACTTTTTGAAGATGGTTTTCCCTCATGTCTAGCCTGAAGCGGTCTTCAATCAGTTTGTGCCCATTATTTCTTGTCCTCCCCCGGGGGACCGTGGTGATGCTCCCCCAAGCCCTGATGTATGCCCCCAATGTACTTACAGGCTGCCACCAAGTCCCCTCTGAGTCTTGGCTTCTCCAGGCTGAAGTCCCAAGTCTTTCAGCCTCTCCTCGCACGACCTGGTCTCTAGGCCTCTAATCATGCACGTGGCCCTCCCTTGGACTCTCTCGAGTTTCTCCATTTCCTTGCTGAAGTGCAGCGCCCAGGACCGGACGCAGATCTCCGGCTGCGGTCTTGCCAAGGCCGAGCAGAGCGGGAGGATGACGTCCTTAGCCCTGCTCGAGATGCCTCGGTAGATGCATGCCAGCGTTTGATGAGCTCTGCCAGCTACGGCATCGCATCGGTGGCTCGCGTTCATTTTGTTGTCTGTCACGATCCCCAGGTCTCGCTCGGTCGTGGTGCTGGCAAGTGTAGCACTGCCGAGCCTGGAAGTGTGTTGTGGATTATTTCTCCTATAATTAAGTCCTATAATCTGTGTGAAGAAAAATGATAAAGCAGTGCTGAAGCTTTAGCCTTGTGGTAAGCCAAGATATAGCAAAAGATCAGAGGAAGTTCCTAAGGTTTTATCTTTTGATAATTTTGCTGTGCCCCATCCCTCTGTACACATGAATGTCTCCCCCCCCGAAGTTTTAAAATACTTTATTTTTTTCCATTCAGAAAGGTTTCTAATCATTAGATTCATCAAGAGAAGCTGCCAGAGGATTGAGTCCTCATTGCTGACTTCCTTTCAGTTCTGAGTAGCGTCCTTGAAGGAAGGGTGCATTAAGTGTTGCTAAAAAAGCATGCTGCTGCACATCGGGCATTTATACGCGTCCCTTTTTGTCCCGTGACATGCCAGAGATCCACAAATTTAGAGGTACTAAATTTAATGTGCATTAGAAAAGGTGCATAAACGTACGTGTAGATGTGCCCAGTGTCAATTTAGCTTCGGCCCAAAGTTAAACCCTTGTAAATTAACAGCAAGAAGCATTATGTAACCTGATGTGAACAGGCACGAGTTTTATCTCATTCAGTTCAATGAATTTAGGTCTTTTTGCACTGAACTGTTTTTTTCTCTCCTGGTCAGTGCTGTAAACCCAAACACCCCATGTAGCAGATAAAAACCAGGAAGTGTTACAGTGAAAATATTCCATTTTTCCAGCCTAATTTGATTGAAATACATAAAGCAAGCACTCTAAAAGGAAGCAAAGTAAATATAGTTCGTCTAAAATGTGAAATAATTGAAATAGGCCAAAACGCTAATAGCAGCAAGGATAAAAGAGTCACTCTTGGCACTGAATTCTTTGCTAAATATAAAGTAGTTTTAATCTACATTTCCACCAGGGTAACAGGCCAAAATGTGTTTGCAGAATGTATTTGCATTTTGACAGTGACCCCTTAGGCATTTAGTTTTGGAAATCTGAAATCCAAACTTGTTTGGTTGCCTCTTTGGCACAGTTGTTTATGACACGGTGCTTTTTCTTCCTTACATTTAATTACTGTAAAGTCTTCAGCTGCAGTTGCCCTTGTCCACCTAGTAATCATACAGCTCCAGGGAACAATGTCCCCACAGAGCTTTAGTACGGCTGTAATCACGGGAAATGACAGTCTGTCTAATTGCAACCGATTTCTACCACCAGCCCGCACGCCAGGAGAGGTAGGGCAGTCCAGAAGAGCAAGCACTTTTTGCAGGGTGGTCACAAAATCAAGATGCTCAGGTATTCAAACTAAATCCAAATCACATTAACATGATTCATTCAAGGAGCAAACTTAAAACTGAAAGAGCAGTGTACAGTGCATCTTTAGCCTGGGCAGCGGAGACGTATGCCACAGACGTTCAGATACTCCGAGTAACGCAGTCAAGGGCGTTCTCCACAAGTAAGCAGGGCTGGCGACTTGTCCTGACAAACGTCATGGCTCTGTCCGCGTCCAAAAATATCAAATTGATTTTAAAGGTTTTCTTTTAATTAAAAAAAAAAGTTAAAGGAAACCATGGTATGCTGCATTTTATTATTTCCAAGGGAAATTTATAAAGAGTCCCTTTATCCTCTGTGTTTGTTTTTTTAATAACATATTTTTAAAACTATTTAATATTAATCCACATTTTCAAAATGATTTAAATCCACCTCATACCCCATCCCACTGGGCTTTCATCAAGTAAGATGGGTACAAATCCAAGGCAGAAAGCTTCCAGTAACAGACCGCAAATAGAAAGGGCAGTTTGGGAGGAGCTTCCCAGACGCATACCCGGGTCCACAGCGGGTTCCTTGGACATCAGTGGAGTGATGCTGTTTTAGCCAACTCAGGATGGGGCCCACTATTTTTGTCCTGTATGCTATAGACATGATCCACCAAGAGCCTTGTAAGGAAGCGTCTCTGTTTTCAGTCAAGGTCTGTAAAGTATTTTCAAGTGCAGGAAACTTTCAGCATTATTTTTAGTTCCTAAAGATACCGGGTCTGGTTCTTACTCCGCCCAGTCCTGAGTAAGGAGTAGCCTAAAGAGCCTTTCAGCATCCTAGCAGTAGATAAAACCAGTTTGTTGTCAGCCACCCAAATAGTCTCCATTTGTTTCTTTATTCACTCCAAGTACTGCTACCATATAGACACGGCATTTCCCTCCCTTCTTCGTTTATGAGCGAGGCTTCGAAATTTCGGACTCGTGAAGCCTATGAGAAGTCTTAACCCAAATGGTTATAAATCATACCATTTTTCTTTGCTCAAAATGTCTTTGGATGCTGACACTCCTTCCCTTCCATATGTACAGACTGGCCTTGAAGTTTCTAAACTGATGGGGATCTTGGATCACAACTCATCTAATTTGGTTATAATAAAATAGCAATCTTTGACTTCCAAGCACAGCCGCTACTTGCGGAGGGTGGAGGATGCACGCACGTGCATGTACAACTTGTCTGGAATAGCTGGGGAAATATTATCACCGAGATAATGTACAAACGCACCTCCAAGTTCTGTTTTGGGATAATGCTCCATGGTTTGTTGCTGGCTAAAACTATGCCACTAAACACCTACATGTTGTATCTGTCAAGGTGAAAATGCTCTGAAGCATCTGCATTTGCAAATGAACCTTACGTTGAACATTTTTTGCATTTAAAATCTCCTAATAATGGTTTTTTTTCCACCCCCAGAGAATCATTTCCAATGATTTTGGTGGCCAACAAAGTTGATTTAATGCATTTACGAAAAATCACCAGGGAACAAGGAAGAGAAATGGCAACTAAACATAATGTAAGTTGAGGAGGAGGTCTGTGTTTCCATGTTGTTTTGGCATTTGAGCTGCTGTTCAAGTTTCATTATGCACATTCAGAATGGGATTCATTCCCTATTGGATTTTAATTAGCTCACTTCTCTGATAGTGAAGCATTTGCACAATTACATTTTCAGATAAAATGCAAATTAGTAGGTGCAGCGGTAACTCCCCATACATCCCTGAAACAGTGCCATTCCTGTGCTGCAGCAGAGCTGGGAAGATCATAGTTGTGTCGTCTGAGTTGTTTGGAGATGGCTGGGTCATGAGCATTCAAAGCAGGTGTCATGTTTGATCATGACACCATGATCCACCAAATGTGAGGATTTGGGAAGAGGCACATTACTGATGCACAAGTGAAAAGGTAGACAAAGGAACTGGTGGATACAAAGAACTAGATTCTGCTTTTTGGAGGTGGAAGGGCAGGAAGCCAGTCTGCCTACACAACGGTACAACACGCAGCTCTTTGTGTAGTGCACGGTTTCAGTGATTTAGAAGGTGTGTGCACAAATGTAGACTCTGCACTTGTAGTATCAGCAGCCAGTTTTACTACACTGGATGAAGAAGCACGTGCACGCACGCACACACGCCTCCATCATCAGAGCAGAAGTTTTTAAAGTCGGAAAGGTAATGATTGAAATCACTCTTCTGTGGCCTTCGTACAATGGAGCGCGCAAGGAATTTCTGGCTAGTGTTAAGCAACTTCCAGCAAACGCCTGGCAGGCATATAACATAGCTTGCCTTTATTTGTACGGCCTTCCTGTCTGCAGGTACAACTTGCTGACAAAGAACATTTATCCTCACATGCTCCATAGCCTCCCAGATCTGGAACTTTGTCCGACCAGTTGTTTTGCATGCAGCCTCTTACATAAAGTAAGGTGTCTTTTGTAAGCACTCAGTGCCCCTTCTGCAAGAATAAAAGTGTTGACACTGATATCCCGGCAGCATTTCACAGACCTGCATTTCTCTGTATTGATGTTATCTTCACTTTTTGCCTGGCTTAGCACTGCTGTGCCCTGGTAAGCAGCTACTATATGACACCTTTGGTTTCAGCAGTGAATGGAGTGATCTTTTTGTGCAGAGTGAAAGCATTGCTCCCGTGAAGCCAGTGGCAAAACTCCCATTAACTTGAATGGGGCTGGGATGTTACCGGTAGCGATTAGATCAGTTCAAGTTAATGACGGGCTGCGAGAGATCACGAATGAATGGTGCCATACTGTGAATTCCAGGTTAGAAAATGTCCTTTTTTTAACAAGGCCCTACCTAAGAGACGGACCAAAAGTGGATATTCAGTACAGTCTATTACAGCTGTTTGTTCTAACACAGCCTCTGTTATGCATCCAATTTTTCCAGGCCTTTGCATTGTAATTTAAGATGGATTTTGCTGTAAACATGTAAGTTTTGACTTACATTTCTTGCACGGGGCTTTTGTCTTTCAGATTCCATACATAGAGACGAGTGCCAAGGACCCGCCTCTAAATGTGGACAAGGCCTTCCATGATCTCGTTAGAGTAATAAGGTGAGCAGTAAAACACTTTCTGTTAGTATTCGTCGGCGTGAGGTTCGCAAGTCCTAACACACAGAGCCAAAAAGCCCCTTCTGTTGTGTTCTTTAGTAGGGTTTCTCGGTCCCTGTCTGCACACAAGACAGGTTTGTGTGTTTATGTGTTAAACCTTCATTCCTAGTGCTGAGCAGTTGCAAAAACCAACTGTTCACTTAAAAAAAATGCAAAGCTAATGAACTCATCTATGATCTGTCCAACTACTGCTACAGTGACCAGCATCTAAAAAGACAGCAGCATTTTATATACAGTATGGGCCCAGTCCTCAGCTAACGTAAAGCAGCATAGCTCCCGTGCAGTCCGTGGTATTACACCAATTGCACCAGATAAGAGTCTGCCCCTTTGGAGCGTTCCTGAGAACCACTTAAGGTTGCTAAGGAACAAAAAATGCAGAAATCTGAAAATAAACCACATGCCCACTTTGTCGTCTTCTCGCACAACCTCAGATGCAGCCACGCTGTTCGTTTCCTCTAGCCAGTAACCCTACGCCACCGTCATCACCAGGGGCCACATCTGGACACGCTTAACACTGACATCTGCTGGAAACCAGTGGTTTTGGAGAGTTGCTTGCATTTTAACTTTTCCCGTAACATTTGGAAATGGATGATTTCCCTAACTCCAGTACAGGCTTCACTCAGGTCCAGGCTTCGATCCCCAAAATATAGCTCGTAAAATATTCTTGGTTTATCCTGCCATGTTACTTTTTGTACATGTATCTCGTATCACTTTTGATAGGGAGGCCTGCCAAAGGACAGTGTGCGGAATAATGTTTTTACTAGAGCCAGGCAGGAAATTGTTTTCCCATCCTGCAGAACAGTTCAGGGTTTCGCTCCTTTTCCTGTTCCACATCAGGATAAAACCAGGAACTTCAGGAGCTTTTCATGCATATCAAGAGTAAGGCCCAGTGCAGAGCAGCCGGCGGCCCAGTGTCTACGGCTCACACCTGGAATATGTAAGACGCAGGGATTTGAGTAAATTTAGCCATTTGCTCTTCTGAGACTTTACCCTTCCTACTCTCTGCTTTTGAGCACAAGGTCCATCCTGGAGCTGACAAACCTTTCTCCCCATGAAATACTTATCAAATCCTCTGCACTTCCACAGAGGGTTTGTTGTTGTTGATTGAGTGTTTTTCTGATTAAAAAAAACCCTTTTGTCTAAAAATTCCTGAGCAACTCATACAGTTACACCAATTGCCTATTCAAAGTAGTGCTGCTACAACCTCATGCACATCTGTCTGACGTAGCCCAGCAGATTCTCACTCGAAACGTCCTGAATAAGGTGAACAGAGTCATTGCTTTCAGTTGAGCTCAGTTGCAGGATTTGGCCATACACCTAACAAATAAATTCCTGCGTTGCTGAAATGAAGCCATCTTAATGAAATGCAGGTATGTATTTTTAGCAGCACACACATACATCCTACGTGCCAGCTTTCAAATTCAGGAAGTGAATAACACGACTAAAACTCCCAGGGAGAATTTCCAGTACATGGGGTTATTTGCTTAAGAAAAAGACATATTTTGAGAAAAATGCAACAGAGTCTTGCAGAATCATGAGTGCTCAAGGCCTCCGTTTTCAACTGTAGTCCGTAAGATGCCGTGACTTGCAGCAGCCCACACTGGCTGAGCAGTTTTGTGCAAGGATGGTTAGACCTATTGTATTATGCAGAATAGTCGTAAAGCTCTGCGTGCTGCCATGCTTCTGCTTGTTGGCTTCCTGATTCGGGGCCTGTGCGTGGAGATAGCACTGTTTGGATTTCCACAATGCTGTAACTCCAGTTGCAACATCTGGCTGTCCTCTGGTTGACAGACACTGAAAGGATTGGCTGGGGATTTTCTTGCATCGGTAGGCAACTTTGCTCATTTTTTCTGCCCACAAAGTAGATGCATTTTGTGTCTTTTTATGTGAGGGGTGACATCAGGCCATGGATTTTCTCCCTCGGAGAGTAGTGTTGTTTCTTGTCTTGCTACGGGTTTCCTCTGCTATGTATGGCACATTGCTCGAACGTCTGGGTGAAACCCAGGCCTAACTGATATCAGTAAAAATTTTGCTGTTGCCTTTCAACTTTGGCTTGTAGTTTCCTAATCTGAAAAATGGACCCGGACAACATTTTCCCTCCCACCACAGATAATTTTCCTGAAAAGATTTGGCACGACATTTAATGACCTGACATCTGAATGTCATTTTTCACTTGGTCAGTGCCTCATGTTGTTGCAAATGGACATCTCTTCTACTAATGCTACCAGCTGAAAGTAGAGGAAAGTTTTCTCTTTTTCTCGGCAGTGAAACAGTCATTTATTCACAACTGGTCTCTGCTAGCTCTTATCTGAACGCAGCTCCTAGTCAGCATCCGTCTAAAGCAGATGGCACTACCCACTCGAACCAAATCAGTTTTGAGATGGGCAGAAGCCACGGGTGGGTGGAAAATTACTGGCAAGTTAAAGTGCATGTTGGAACTGTCCCAAGTTACTTCCAGTCTGTTCCATGTTTTCCCGTTCATGCCCTTGGACTTAGCATTTATGACACTGAGCTCTTTTCCTATGTGCTTTTACTCTGAAAAATACTGATGCAGAGAAATCCCTGAGGGTTTGATGTGTTGTCCAGGAGTGACTCCTGTCAAATATGTATAGTATGCACATTACACTCTGTGTGTGTGTGTGTGTGTATTTAATATAGTATGTGTGCTTGTATTTATATATGTATATGTACACATACATGTAAGTATATGTACACATACATGTATATGTGTGTGTATATATACGTGTGTGTGTGTGTACAGGTGTACACACACACACAACTACATAATATTTAGTAAGTCCCATTGTATCTAGAAGCCTTACAGTCCTGGCTGACTACTTTCCTTCCTTTACACAAACAGCAGTAATACGGTTTCCACCAACCAAACGAGACGTTCCCTGAC